TACTTGGAGTTGTGCCACTCCAAGTAATCAAAATGAAAATGAAATCCCGTCCTGGCGATTCGCGCAACGGGATTTCTAATGATTTTTATTTAGTGCACTTCAAATCTAGTGAACTAAACAACCTTAAGGCCTTGGAAAAGCTATCCTTATGCTCCATGTCCGAGTGAAGTGGGAACACTTCAGGAAGACTGGAGGAAATTTCCAAAACCTCACCCAGTGCCGTAAGTGCCAGGGAAGGGGTCACGGAACTAAAAATTGCTACATGCCAGCTAAATGCATGAATTGTGGTGATTCCTCTCACGCAAAGAACGACTGTCCTGTGAAGGAAGATCCTAAGAAATTTAAATGTTCAAATTCCAATTTTTGGGAATGTAAGACTCGCAAAACGATCCTACAATCTCGTTCTAACCGACAGGTAGCAAACGCTCCACGTTCCCGACCAGGTACAAATTCCTCTGTTGTTAACAACGGTCATCTAGGAACAAATTCTACATTCGTACCCATAGGTACAAATATCACCCCTGCTTCAAATGTTTCATCTATACCTACTCCCCTCGCTGCTAACAATGTTCAACGAGTAAATGGAGCTACCTATGCTGCTATTGCAATGGGTAGAAATCAAAATACTAACCAACGTAATTGTAACGGAAATTTTGACAATTTTGACTTAGGAAGCATTACTGCCCCTAAAATGGAATTTTTACAGAAATCATTAATTGACATGATTTCTGATATGCTTAAATCTAACTCCATGTTTGATGCTATTCAAACTGGAGTAAAATTTGCAAACAATAATGTCATGACTTTAAAAATCAGTAATTGATTTTAAAGCATTAAATATTTTAAATTGGAATGCTCGATCTCTTAAAGATAATGAAGACGAGCTATTTGACTTTTTAAGAGTTCATAACGTGCATATTAGAGTGATGCAAAATTTGAAATTTTCGCTCCACAATACTTAAACGATTCCAAATCGGATCCTGACTAACCTCTCAAAATTTGAACCCATTTGGTGAGAAACTGAGATGACACAAATCATTTGAAGTTTGTATGGAATTACTATGGTAAAACTAAGATTTTTGTTCATGTCTATCTAATAATTCACCATATCGTTCTGCTTCAAAAGCTTTCAACTTTACTTGTAAACGACGCCGGTGGTGTAGTGGTAAGCGTGATTACCTCTCACCCCAGCAGGCCTGGGTTCAATCCCAGTCGGCGCCGCCGGGATGTTCTGAGGCATAACAACTCTGATCACGCCTTCCTTCGGATGGGAAGTAAAGCCGTTGCTCCCCGGTTCATGAGTTGATGGGTCGATAGGTAGGGTCCAGGTGTGGAAGCTGCCTTCCTGGCACGTCGGTAGCATTGGTGCTCAGCACGGAAAACAAGATCGACCAAAGGAAAAAAAAGAAAACTTTACTTGTAGGAAATTTTCCCAACTACAACTTTGCTGAAGACCACTTTTTGATTAAATGCAAGGATCAAAAGTTATTAATGGTTCAATGCACTGATGTCTTATGATCATGCTCAAGGGATTGGTGTTTCTGGGGCGTTGAATAGGACACAAAAATTATGGCTACTATGTCAAACTGCAAAATACAGTGTTGCCTACAGAGCAGCTGCTTAATCGTGTCATAAGTTTACCAATCTCTTAAATAATTAATAACTATTTCCTGTCTCGTTTTACATAGAAACGATTTTCAGCAAAGTTGTAGCTGAGAATTTCCTATAAGAATAGCTATCGAGCTGTTTTGCAGCTCAATATGGAAAAAAGACTAGAAGGCAATGAACAAAAAGTTGAGATTTCCCATCATAATTTACATGTAAACTTCAAATGGTTTGTGCGAAGTCTGTTTCTAACCAAATGAGTTGTAACTTTTGGAGGCTAATCACGACCCGATTTGAAACCATTTAAGCACTGTGGAGCGAAAAAGTCAAATTTTGCATCAGTCTAGTGCATATTGCCGTTATAACTGAAACGTTCCTTAAACCTGACCATAAGTTGGTTGGAAATGCTAACATGAAGCTTTAGTGTGATGATTTATTAGCTAGAGAATGATCTTTAGAAGAATGTAGGTGGATAGTTCCGTTAGAGTACGGCAGTATGAAAATTGAATAGAAGTTGAAAATGAGCGAAGGGCCATTAAAGCGACAGTTTTCAAGATGACGCACATTTTTGCCTAGCCCGTACGATGTACGCGGGGACTCGGTCCCCGCGTACATCGTACGGGCTAGGCAAAAATGTGCGTCATCTTGAAAACTGTCGCTTTAATGGCCCTTCGCTCATTTTCAACTTCTATTCAATTTTCATACTGCCGTACTCTAACGGAACTATCCACCTACATTCTTCTAAAGATCATTCTCTAGCTAATAAATCATCACACTAAAGCTTCATGTTAGCATTTCCAACCAACTCTGAAAATCGTTAACTTCGCGTATGAAGTAACATAAAAAACACTTTGAATCTGACCATAAGGTTAAGAAGGACGCAAATTATTTCATTTATAGAAATGATCGTCTTGATGGACCCTGTGGTGGCGTTGCCATCATTGTTCATAGACGAATCAAACATAAAATTCTTTCTTCATTTGAAACCAAAGTTTTTGAAACTTTGGGAGTTTCTGTTGAATCAAAATTTGGACAACTTACGTTTATAGCTGCCTATTTGCCATTTCACTGCGTAGGCCAGCAAAAGAATTTTCTCAAGGGTGACCTTCAGAAACTTACCCGTCATAGGTCTAAATTCTTCATTATTGGTGACCGCTCATGGAATAATGCTTAAAGCAATTCCAATGGTAATATTCTGTTTGTTGATTGTTCTGTAGGTTATTACACTAATCAATATCCAAACAGCCCAACATGCTTTTCTTCTGCAAGAAATCCCTCAACTATTGATTTGGTGTTAATTGAATCATGTCAACTTTGTAGCCAATTGGTTACCCATGCTGACGACTTCTGTTCTGATCACCTTCCAGTAACTTTTGATAATAATTTATAATCCCAACAGCTCTACTTTCAATTACCATAGAGCTGATTGGGAGCAATATCGAACATTTATAGAATATAACTTCGATCCAAACATTCCGTTGCAAACCAAAGATGAAATTAATTGTGCTCTTGAATCTCTCACTACTTCTATAGTTGATGCAAGAGCTGCCTCAGTACCAAAATGCGAGGTTAAATTCGGCTCAATTATAATACACTACGATCTTAAGGTATTGATCCGTCTTAAAAATGTCCGTAGGAAACAATATCAAAGAACACGCGATCCTGCCATGAAAGTTATCTGGCGGGATTTGCAAAAACAAATTAAAAAGCGATTATCTGTCCTGAGGAACAAAACTTTTGAAAATAATGTTTCTAAATTACACCCGAGTTCCAAAACCTTTTGGAACTTCACAAAATTTTTGAAAATACCTCAAAAGCCTATTCCAGCGCTTAAAGAAGGTGGTAAAATTTTGATCACAAATTTAGAAAAAGCTCAGAAACTTGCTAAGCAATTCGAGAGTTCCCATAATTTCAGTTTGGGTCTTACTAGTCCTATTGAGAATCAGGTTGCTCGGGATTATCTGAATATTTTCTTTCGGGAAAATATTTTTGATTATTCCTGGGGGATTGATTTGGACGAAGTAAGGTCTATAACTAAAAAGTTTCAGAATATGAAAGCTCCAGGTGATGATGGAATTTTTTATATCCTCATCAAAAAACTCACAGAGAGTACCTTGTCTTTCTTGGTAAAATTATTTAACAGATGTTTCCATTTGGCATACTTTCCTAATAAATGGAAAAATGCAAAAGTTGTTCCAATTTTGAAGCCGGATAAAAATCCAGCTGAAGCTTCTAGCTACCGTCCAATAAGTTTGCTTTCTTCAATAAGTAAACTTTTTGAAAAGATTATTTTAAATAGAATGATGCTTCACATTAATACGAATGCAGATGAGCAGTTTGGATTTCGCCATGGGTATTCAACTACTCATCAACTCTTAAGAGTTAACAATTTAATTCGTTCAAACAAATCTGAAGGCCACTCAACTGGAGTTGCTCATCTAGACATAGAAAAAGCATTCGACAGTGCAGTGTTGGAAAAGTTCGAGATATTTCACGAAGTTCACCAAGGGAAAAGTTCATGAGTCATAGTGATTTTTCGCGAACTTTTCCATCACTGCGACAGTGTTTGGCATGAAGGTTTGATTGTTAAATTGAAAAAGTTTAATTTTCCACTTTATATTATGAAATTACACTGGAGTCGCTTTTTACGCGGTTTTTTTTACACGGTTTTTTTTACGCGGTTTTTTTTACCTGGATTTCGAAATTTAAACGGTTTTGTTTTACGCGGATTTCGGAATTTACGCGGTTTTTTTTACGCGGATTTTGGTTTTTTTACGCGGATTTCAGAATTAACGCGGTATATCATTATACACTAGAGTCGCTTTTTACGCGGTTTTTTTACACGGTCTTTTTTTACGCGGTTTTTTTACGCGGATTTCGGAATTTACGCGGTTTTTTTACGCGGATTCCGGAATTTATGCGGTTTTTTTTTACGCGGTTTTTTTTACGCGGGACATATCACCCGCGTAAAAAGCTACTCCAGTGTAGTTCAAAATTATTTAACTGACAGAACTCTGCAGGTAAACTATAAAAATTCCAAATCTAATCGGCTACCTGTTAGAGCAGGAGTTCCTCAGGGTAGCGTTCTTGGGCCTACATTGTATAACATTTTCACTTCGGACCTCCCTGATTTGCCTCAGGGTTGCCACAAATCTTTGTTCGCTGATGACACAGGCATTTCCACTAAACGAAGAAGTCTTCGTGTTATTTGCAGCAGACTGCAGAAAAGTTTAGATATTTTCTCTTCTTATTTACAAAAATGGAAGATTTCTCCCAACGCTTCCAAAACTCAACTTATATATACAAAAAAAAAAGAAAAAAAAAAAATATATATATATATATATATATATATTTTTTTTTTTTATTTTTTTATTATTATAGTCACTCACACTCAGTTAACACTCTTGGGTCATTCGTGACTTGTCCGGGGGTGAGATTTGAACTCGTGACTTTGGCGTGAGAGGTATGGATGTTAACCACTACGCCGAGGTCGCCCCCAACTCAACTTATAATATTTCTACATAAGCCTAGTGCTTCCTTTTTGAAACCTAGTAGTAGTCACATAGTCACTATGAACGGTGTTCCAATTTCCTGGTCAAACCAAGTGAAATATCTTGGATTAATACTTGACCAAAAATTAACTTACTTTTAAAGATCACATTGAGGGCATTCAAGCCAAATGTAACAAATATATAAAATATTTGTATCCTCTTATAAACAGAAAATCCAAACTTTACTTAAACAAGTTTTTAGACCAGCCATGCTTAACGCTGTGCCAATATGGTCTAGTTGTTGCACTACCAGGAAACAAAAGCACTTCAAAGGATTCAGAACAAAGTTCTGAAGATGATTTTGAAGTTGCCTTCCTGGTACAGTACTACCGAAGTACATAGAATTTCGAATGTTGAGACTTTAGAACAAATGTCCAACAAAATAATTAATATTTTCAGGCAAAAATCGTTGCAATCCTCAATTGCAACGATTAATTCCCTTTATACTTAGATAAGATTTATTTTTAGTTTTTAGTTTTAAGATTTCAATTGTTATACTGACATGCAGGTTTAAAAAAAACCTGTTTAAAATACTGAATTGTCAAGGCAGGAACAATGTAAAAACACTTAGATATATATCATAACAATTAAGGCTGGTAAGTTACTGTAGTAACTGGAGCACCTAGGTTAAAATGAAATGTAATTTATTTTGAATTTGGAACAAATAAAGAGTTAAAAAAAAATAAAAAAAGGCTCAAAAGATTGAAATGTTGTGCAAATATAAATAATCCGAGATGCAACCGAAATAAGTTACGGGCCATATCGTCAACGATGGTAAAAAATACATTCTATGGGATATAACCACAAAATTGATGAAACGATGAGCATTTGTGAGTCATGCCGTAGCGTGATTGTAATTGTAATTGTAATTGTTCAGTGTATAGGCTGTGCCAACCGCTAAGTTGGCTTATCTAGGGACTAACCCCCTAGTCTATACACCTACTGTCCTTCCCGTTGCACTCGTCAGCTCGTGCGATACTCTAGACACACATGGGTGGTCGTATCCGGGTCCTCCCCTGGGTAGGCTCGTGTCCGTCCAGGTTCTGGTACATTAACTTATATCTATGCATGGTAATTATACTTTACAACTCACCTTTTGATTATAAATGTCGATAATGCTGAAACTATATGAATGTTAGTGATCATTATTAGGTGTGTGTTGCAGTGGAGTAGTAATTGAAGGAAATGAGGTTCTCATGTGGCTTTTGGGTAATTCTCAAATAAGTAAATCATGCAAGCACACACCTTTTACAATTCTTATCCAATTTACCAGTTCCGTCCAGTATAAATTGGCTGTTTCCAAATAGCCTAATCCTTTCTGACTACTTACTCTCTTACGTTTTCTCGCTTTTTTTCCTTCTTCCTATTGAAAATCTGGCCATGTTCCCATTTGTTCTCAGGTAGGTAATATTGGTACATGAAGGGATGAAAGAAATAAAACAAGTTAAGTGTGAGCCGCATGCGTTGGTTAGTCGTTTGGGTAATGGTGTTGTGTTCCCTATTTTATTTGCCTCTATTCAGCTCTCAGATCGCCCCCTCCCCCAAAACTATTATTGAAAAAAAAGAACCCATATTTGGTAACCTCTCGCGAGCTGCATAAGATATGAATAACAAACAAATCTAGAACGGGGCTTAAACATATAACATTTTCTAAGACTGATCATGATTAATATAGTATGAATAATGAGAATTGTATGAAGAAAAGACGATCCTAAAAGAAAGTTCCCTAGCAATAAAACTATTACTCTGTGCTAATATGAGTTATTTAAAAATGGGCATCCATACTCAGAAACTATACCCGACCTCAACAAACTGTACCGAAATCAGAACAGCTAAACTACTCGGTAAGATTTTAGCATTTCTATTTAATTGTATTAAACTATCTCACAGAGACCAGACGTTCAAGTTCGGTCAGAAACTTGTGTAGAGTTAAGTGGAAACGTTGCCGTTACGTAGCGCATCTCCTGATTTCCTCTATAAATTTATCACTTTCGACCAATTAGGCGCTAGTATCGATAAATTATCTGCTGAAAATCTATCACCACTTAGTGTCTAGTGTAAGTTTTGCAACGCCAGTGCCATCTGTTGTCAATGAGGGTTTTTAAGTGGGGAAGTCGCCGTTAGTGGCGCTTAAGTCGAATAGGAATCTTTACACAAGTTTTTAGAGAAATTTTGGAGCCTCAACGTCTGTTCTCTGTGGCTATCTTATATCGAGCTCTTTTCAATAATTGCAACATGTGAATAATGCAGAACAAGTTTAAAATTGTTCTAGAGCCAAATTGGTTTTGAATGAAAGTCAAACTACAAACGAACAGCTCAGCCGCTCTGAACCCTATGAAAATTATGCTTTCCCAATATGGTACATTCTCTCACTATAAACCTGTCATTTCTAGCCTATCTGAACTATTTTATAAATGGAAACCATAACATGGGTTACACTCCTCCTAAGCGGGTCCTCCGCATCCTATCTCTGTCTTATCTCAAATGCCAATGGTTTGAATGTATCAACATTGGAAATGACGTTCAAGCAAATAAACCCATACCCCACTCAATTGGCCAGTCTTCAGAATCGTCCAGTGGGCAGTGCGCTCTACACTCCAAGTTCCCTTTCTTTCAAATTTACCCCAAATTTTATATTTTACCCCTCTGAGTGTTGATTAATCACAATGAAACATTGTTACAGAGCACGGACTTGAGGTTACTACCCAACAAACAATTGCCTATTGAAGAAACGACTTCGTGACGATTTTATTCCACTTTATGCTTAATAATACTTGTATTATTTTCAATAATAACTTCTGTTCAGGCTTTGTTCACACAAATCTGGAGAATTTGTTCAACCACAACATCAAAATATTCGGTGTTGAATAAGGTATGTCGAGAAGCTTTTATTCGACTTACAAGAGTTGTAACAGAGCTTATTCGATCAATTTTTTAATTTTTCAGCGTTTATAAGACATCAATGCTTCCTTAAACAGCGATGGTATAAAGGTGTACACGAGAAGCTTAATTCCCTAATAAAAATGGTATGGTTAATTTGCTTAACGACGTGTTCTGGGTATCATCCAAACCATTTGTGGAATAGTTCAATGATTTGGGTTAACGTTCGTTTATGGTTGTTTTTTATTAGGGTTCTCATGTGAAATAATGTTTAATTAGACACTATTATACATTTATTAAATGATTATTCAACTACGGGATAATTAATCCGAAAATAAGAACGGCACAGAGCAGGGGTTTGTTCTCGTTAGTGATTGTTGTGTCATTATTTCTGTCGAAACACGCCACCCACCACACAATAATTTATTACATACATACATACACACACACATGTCGTTATATGGGATTCGAACCATGACCTGCCGATCACCAGCCGCTTGCCTTGCCATCTGAGCTATCCTAGATTACATCATATGAGCAGCTAAATAAGCAATAAAAGCTTGAATCTGAAAACCTATCAGCACTTCCAGCCGTAACTCTAGCTAATTCAAGGAGATGTAAGAATGATTAATTTATTTATAGTTGTTTAACATTAGACCAACGTTACCTCTCCATCTCTCTAATTTCGATAAAAAAGATGCTATTCTTTTCGAAAGATCTATAAATTGGTTGTCGTGAGTGAAACGATTTATGATTACGATTTAAATTAATTAGGCGTAGAAAATAAATAAAACAAAAAAGGGTTGAGGCTGGGATTGAACTCGCGACCTTCTACTTGGAAAGCGGAAACGGTAACCACTATGCTACCTATTTCGTTTTGAAGTTAGCCTGAAGCAGTGTTGTCGAATAATGAATCTAATACGTCGTTTATAAAGCATTTACAAATCATGTGATTACAACATGGACGCATAGTGGTATAAAAGCTACTATGCTGACTGTATTCACCTTTATACAGCAATATTGTGAAGCAATGCAATGGAACCTAGTAATGCAGCTAGAAAACAATTATTAGACGTATAATAAAGCATGTTATTAAATCAATGGAAACACACTTATCCAGTATGATATTAGATCAAACTTCTGGTGTTGAATCATGAAGACAGTCATCGTTTGCATAGATTTTAATAAGTATATTAATCAAATCAGAGCAATCAGCGGAATAAAGGCGCATCATCGATCTCAATGAGGTTTTCTGAGCACATAATTTGACAACCCGTTTTATTCAGCATTTTACACTGTTATAAAGCATTTATTCAATCTATATGCTTATTTGTGACTCTGAATTGTTTATTGAGCAGCATTGTGGAAAAATGAATCTAATACGTCGTTCATAAAGCATTTACAAAGCATTCAACTAAAACATGGACGCATAGTGGTACCAGAGCTATTTTGCTGACTGTATTCACCTTTATACAGCAATATTATAAAGGAATGCAATGAAATCTAATAATAGAGCTAGAAAACATTTATAAGACGTCTAATAAAGCATTTTATTAAAGCAATTGAAAACAGCCGAATTAAAGCGACAATGTATGTGCAAATTACACTTATTCAGTTTGTTATAAGATCAAACTTCTGGTTCTGAATCAGGAAGACAGTCAACGTTTATAAAGCTTTTAATAAGTAAATTAATCAGATCAGAGCAAACGGCGGAATAAAGGTGCATCTATCGATCTCGATGAGCTTTTTTCAGCACGTAATTCGACATTCTGTTTTATTCAGCATTGTACACTGTTATACAGCATTTATGCAATGTGTATGCTTATTTGTGACTTTGAATTGTTTGTTGGGTAGAGTATTAAATAATCCAGGTCCTATTTAGGATTATATCTGAAAAATCCAAATTTGGCCAACGCCCACCGATGAGCATTTGTGAGTCATGCCGTAGCGTGATATCTCATAATAGAAGTCCAGTTGTGAAAAAACGCCGATCGGTTGGAAATGATGTACCTAAATATCCAACCATCAACATAGTGATGATCCAGATCCATCAACGAGTGGCCATCAATCCGTAGATGAGCTAGGTAAGAACAGTCATCCTGATGATTCTATCAAGTTTTAACTGCAAAATCCTAATAGAACTTATTATTTTTTTTTCTTCTTTCCTCCAGATACGGTACTATCGGTTCCATCATTGGAGTCAGTTCCATCAGCATATGCAACGCCCATACAATGTTGAGAAGTTCAATGGCTTTGTGGAAACGTTGAATTTATCTCCAATTTCATCGAGGAAGATACAGCAGACATTAGCAAAGTAGAGGCATACGTAGAAATGATTGTGTAGCTAAAGGAGAAGTTCAATTCCCCCTACAGCTGACAGAAAAGATCAGATAACAGTATTATCAGTATTGCCAAAGTCTTTGTCCGTGAATAAAGTCGTAGCAGAATTCAACGCACGAACGTACATGGTAAAGCAGGTGAAGAGCCTTGTTAATGAGCAGGGTATTCTTAGCACACCCAATAAAAGAAGTGGGCATGGGATCAACGATGATACAAAAAAAAAAAATAGTTAGGGAATTTTTTGATTACAATGATATTAGTAGATCTATGCCCGGAACAAATGATTTTGTTTCCGGGTTAAGAAATAGACGAAAAGAAAACGTTTAAAAACGACTGTTAATGATGTCCCTCAAAGAAGCGTACATGATTTTTGTTGATAAATATAAAGATATTAATATTGGTTTCACTGTATTTACACAATTGCGACCAAAACATTGCATTTTGCTTGATTCTACTGGAATCCATAATGTATGTATTTGTAAAATTTATGAAAATGTAAAATAAATGATCAAAAGTTTAAGAATTATGTCACAAGATACAATAATAGAAAAAATGCATTGTAATATTTCAACAAAAACAACTGATCGCTTTTTCCGTGCTTATGAAAAGTGTGCTTCCAATGAACATATTGAAGAGGAATTTACTTTGCTATTAGAATCAAATGAGAAACAAGATGTTGTCTTTCAACAGTGGCTGAATACTGATCGTTGTAATTTGGAAACGATTATCAAGCATGTTGATGAATTTGTTCTATATCTCGTTGATTAAATTAACAAATGACTTTATTTACAAACAACAGTCTTCTTTTCTAAGAAATAAAAAAGAATTATCCAAAACGCTGCTCAAGGATATCACTGGAATAATTCTCAACCAACAATACATAGGGGAATTTACGTATTCTCGTCAATCTAAGCAGCTTCCGCACTTCTATTAGCATTTTCTCAGTGTCACGCACACATATGACGTGTCTGTTTGTTTACATTCATCTGCTGCTAGCTACTCTATCCATTCCAACCAACAACACTGTCCAAAACGGTTTGAAAACGTTATTAAGGCGCTCCAAACTTCTCAGGTGAGTGTGACTATTGTCGGCAGCCTCTTTTACTTCGGCAACATTTCCGTTTAAACTGCCTGTAAACCAGCTGTTCTATTAT